AACTAAACTGAACTGATATTATCGGTGACCTGGCGAAGACCGACTTACACTATCGCTGGCGGAGCTAGAGGCTGTAGCTGTACTGTACTTGTGGCTGTGGAGACGGAAGACGTGGCTGGTGTGGTGGTATTGGGTGTTGCTGATACTGCTTTGTTGTTGTTGGTGTTGTTCCTAGCCCAGCTGCATCGCTGTTTACCTGTGTGGCAGTCACGGCACTCACTGCCTGGCGGCTGGCTTGCACTCCTGCTCCTGTTTCCATACCCATTCCCGTTGTCGCACTAACACTATTCATGGTGGCCGTGGTCCGGTAGGCGGCTCTGGTCAGGGAACTACTATAGCCCCTGCTGCCGCCACTCGATGTTGTCCAGGTCGCTGCTGTAGCGCTGCTGTAGGTGCCGCTGCTCCCGCCAGCGGCCTGCTGTTGCTGCTGCTGGTGCTGGTGCTGGTGCTGGTGCGATGTATGATTGCTTCGTCCTCCAGAGGCAGCGACCGCAGCTGTCCCACCTGTCCCACTCCCGGTGGCCAACATAGCTGTGGTCGTGGTTGTGGGTCTCTTCTGGATACTAAGATTGTTAAATTTCTCAATGGAAGCCTTAATGCTCAGCGAATCGATTCCATAACGACGAGCATTGCCACGGCAGCTGACCGGCTCTGTGGCGCCAGTAACCTCGCCGGCGCCTCCTCCTCCACCATTGGTCTGACGATGATAGCCACTGCTGAACTTCTCAAAGTTGGCCGCAAAGTTCGAGCGGAGCGGAGGCTATAATGGTGGACTGGTCGGGCATAGCGATGGCTGCTGTTTGCTCCACCACTGCCAGATTGCTTTGCTCCTGCTGCTGTTGATTGCGATGTCGCAGCTGCAGCGGTGGAGTTATTGGCTTGAAGTAGCATATGTTGGCCTTGGTGGCCGCTGCTCCCGCCCTCCAGCTCCTCCTGCCCCTCCATTGGCTGTCGGCTCGTCGCTGTCTATATAGGTAATGTCATCGTGTTGCTGCTGGCGTGCATCATGTGTTATTCCCGCTGTTGCTGCTGCTGTTGGCGGCGGTGGTGGTGCTGCTTCCGTTGTTATTATTATTGTATGATGATGTCCATCATCGCTGCTCCTGCTGCTGCGGCGGCCGTGTTGTTGTTCGCGTTAATCGGCTTCAGCTTGCCATAGACCTGACGTACCCGGAACGGTACTATACTTGTGGAGCACCCCGTTCGTGTTGGTTTGGTGGCCAGCGGTGATCCTGTTGCTGTTGCTGTTGCTATTGATGGTGGTGCTCAGGTTATGGCTCTGACTATGGTTATGGATCTGGCTCTGGCTCGTGCTGGTGCTGATCTGCTGATTGCCATTGAACATGGGCCCCGTCGCATATCACTGAGGGGATTTGCCCTTCTGCCGTTGCCGCTGTTGTTGCTATTCGAATTATTATTGTTATTTCTGGTATCTTCACCGGCCCGTATGCGATTGCCTTTTGCTTTGCTGGCCGTGGTTGTGGTCGTGGTCGTCACCTGGGCGTGGGCCAACTCGCATTCGGCCTTGAGAAATGTTGGATCCTTGTAGCTGGATACCAGAAAGTAACGCTGATTAGCAGCCCGCACCGGATTACTGCTGGAAGTAGTGGTAGTGGTGGTGGTGGTGGTGGTGGTGGTGTTGCTAGCGCCGCCTTGCCCTCCGGCCAGTGTCGAACGGACCTGTGTGGCTGGAGTTACTCCTCCGTTGCCGTACTTAATAGACGCCAGGCGGCGTGCGTCCTGCTCGAAACCACCGAGGGCACGTTGGCTCCTCTGCTGCTTGCTACCGTGGGCCTGGTCTGGCTCTGGTTCTGGTTGTGGTTCTTTGAACGTTGTTCTGGCTGGTTCCCCTGCCGATGTTGTTGCTCGGCTGCACCTTTAGTACCTGCTGCTGCTGCTGCTGCTGCTGTTGCCGTTGCTGCTGCTGTTGTGGCCTCTGCTGCTGAGGATGGTACTACTACTGCTCCCGTTGATGGCTGCAATTTGGATGGCTGGTGGAATCTTTGGAATCCTCTGGTCTCTTAATGTCTAACATCATTCGACGGGCGTTCGCTCGTTGCTCGATACTCGTTCCTTGCACCTGCCGTTGTTACTCTTTTCTTTCTGTTGCTTTTTGGAAGGGTGGACGAGATGTTGTGTTGTGTTAGTTGTTTAATTATTGCTCGACGCCTGTCACGTTCAAACGTCAGTCGTCAACGATGACAATGTTGCCCCAAGCACTTGATGTTTCAGCTTTTGTTGATTCTGCTTTTGCTCCTAAAACTGCTGCTTCTGCTTCTGCTTCAGCTGCTCTCCTGTTCCTGCTCCTGACTAAGAAAAGCCTCTTCCTATTTACCACACACTAAAGCAATTATGGTTTTTCTGGATGATTTCTGTATGATTTTTGTTTTCTTTTTTTGTTTTGGGGAATGTTTTAGGAGGATTAGAGTTAGTCTGGCCTTATTATTAGTTTTGTTCGAGTGGCGTTTAGTTGGACTTTGGACTTGGCTTTGGTTTAGGCTTGACGCGTTTTGCTTTGAATTTGTTTTGAGTTTAGCGGTTTCTTGTTAACTTTTTCGTTTGGTTAAGTTAGAACAGGGCGCAATCACTGCAAGAGTTTAGCTAAAAATACATAAAAATGTTGAAAGTTGATTAAATGATCGGCTTTTTCGGGGGTCTCTTTTAGCTGTGTTAGGATGACAATGCGTTTGGATAGAACAGAATAGGGGTTAGGGTTTGGGATTCTCTTTTTTTTGGGGGAGAGGGTCAGGGTCTGGGTCTGGGTCTGGGTCTCTGGGGGTCTGGGTCTGGCTTGGCACACACACATACACACACAGATATATAACTGAAACTCAGGAGGTCAGTGGTCCTTGTCTTGGCATGCAATTAGTTTTGGTTTTGGTTTTGGTTTCGCTTCGCTTGGCTCGTTCCTTGCTGTTACCTTGCTGTCGGCGGATGAGGATGATAGCTTAAATGTGGCCGTGGTGCTCACATCTCCATTGTCCACCTCCGCCTGGGCATCGCTGCCATTGTCATTGCCATTGCCATTGCCGCTGCTGGGAGCAGAGATTCCAGCATCATCGGTTGTATCCTGGTTCCTTAGATTGCTCCCACTCCGGCTCTCATAGATGGCATTCCGCTTCGGCGAAGTGGAGAGCAGCGATAGGCCATTTAGCTTTGCCTCCAGTCCACCGCCATTGGTCTCTCCTCTCTCCCCCAACGATTTGTGACCATTGGTTGAGGCTGGAGGCGGCGGCGGCGGCGGCGGAGGAGGAGGTGGTGGTGTGGCCGTAAGTGTAGCTGTGGCTGCTGCTGTTGCCTTGGCTGTGACATCCTCCGCCTGACTGCGACGCGTCCGACTGCTGCGTAGTGTAAAGGTGGCTGTGGGCACATCCCCACTGCTGTTGCTATTGTTTATCGAATACCTGCTGCCGCTACTGCTCCGGGAGGTCGTCCCTGTGCCCGTGCCCGTTCCAAGTCTTCCAGAGCTGGTCGTGACCTCACCGCCCGCATCACTGCTGTTGCTGTAGAGGCGACTATACCGGCTGCTACGCGGCCGATCCAGTGTCACCGTCTCGGTGGGTGTAGCACTGCCGCCGCCACTTCCATTCTCCAGCTCCTGCTCAGCATGCCCCGACCTGGAACGTGACAGTTCACAGTTGGGTTTATAGTTGGCCGGACTGTACTTTTCGTACATATCCAGTCCGGAGGTGGCCACCAGGCGGGCCAGCGATGGGGATGAAGATGAACTGGACAACCGGCTGCCAGATGATGATGATGAAGATAGCTTGCCGCCGCCATGGCCATTGGTCTCCGTGTGATTACTGGAGGAGTTACTTCCTCCAGCGCCGCCGCCGCTTATCGGCGGCTTCTTGGCGGTGGAGGGAGACGGAGTCCGCTATACTTCGCCGGCTGACATAGTCATCCCTCTTGGCCGCCGATCCGCTCAAGCTATCGCCATTCGAGGTGATCTTTGATGATGTTTTGCGCGGTAACTTTTTTTCGATCGTTTGGGAATTTCGATTTTGGTTTTTGGTTTTCGGTGTTTGTATATATATATTTTGTTTATATATATATTTGTTTTTTATTTTGCGAAACATTTACAGGTGACAAATGAGCGGAAACATTTGTGGTGAAGAAGAGGTAACGGTAACGGTAACGATAAACGGCAACGGGTTTCAACATGTTTCGTGTTCACGTTTCAAATGTTTCAAAAAATATCGATAATTAACAAAAACAAAATATGTAAAGAAAAGAAACATCAATGATGAGAGAGTTTAATGACTGGAAATTTGTACACAAATAATGAACAGTAAATGATATATATATATATATAATAAGATGAATAATGGCAAATGAGGGGTCCACATGAATTGCAAAATAATCGAAAAGGCGATGACCCTCACACCTAATAAGCTTTGTTTTCTTGCATTTGTTTTATTAATTAAAACTGTAAAAAACTAAAGATTTCTGTCCCTTTTTGATCATGAATTATTTAAGTCTGCACGGGATAAATTCAAAATCACTTCCATGATGTCATTATAAAATGATGCTGCTTAATCTTATGATAATTTACACGTTAATCGCAATGGCAATATAAAAATTAATTTCAAAAACGACCTCGTTTTCAATGCGCCTAGTCTGCGGTAAATGGTGCGTCTGAAAATAGTAATTAGCGCGAAATGTGTCGCCTACAGAACTTTCCGTACATACTATTGTCTGTGTCAACCAAACAAAGTGAGAAAATAAAAGGAAAAATCGGACCCGACCCACCTACATAATGTAGATGTTGTTAATGCCAGATGTTAACCGAAAGTTATGACGAAAAAGATAAATAACAAAAAAAGAAAAGAGTGTGAAATGTCAAGGGGACGCACCTACTGATTGTTTCGATTGTTTTTTATTTCTTTCCACCCTCGAAAATAAATAAATAAACTCCACATGTGGTGTTCTCTTGGGCACACACACAAAATACACACACGCACACACACCGGCCAAAGTCAGACAGGGACAGAGCTATGGCATTAACCTTATTGCGAATTTCTCGCGGGGAAGGCGGCGGAAAAGGGTAAGAGAATGACACAATTGTTGCTGTTGTTGGAGGTGTGTTGGCCTTTTGTTGCTTATAACGTGAATTCCCGTTGCCTCAGTCGCTTCTAGTTGTAGTTGCTGCTTTGTTGTTGGATCTGTGCCAACAAGTGGTTCGCGGTTCGGTTCAGTTCAGCTCAATAGTCATACACACACACAGTCCACACACACACACACGCATTCCATTCCTGGGCCTCTGACTCTGACTGTGACTGTGCCTGGGCAATGACGCATCCGACTATGTTTGTGTACAAACGAAATGGTTCGTCACAGGAATCGCTATCAGTAGGGAAACCCCTCTTTATCCCTCTTTGCAATCTGTGTGGGTCCTGTATTTTTTATTGCGTGTTTTGGTAGAAACTCTGTAAAAAAAACTAGTGTTTTTAGCATGGTTCAGTAAGGAAACGTTAATTATTCTATTCAGCGCTTCGAAAATTATATTCAGCTCGTAATACAACCTATTCAGCGCTTCAAATATTATATTCAGCTCGACAAAGATTATATTCAGCTCGTAATACAACCTATTCAGCGCTTCAAAAATTATATTCAGCTCGTAATTTATCCTATTTAGCGCTTCAAATATTATATTCAGCACGTAAAATTCTCAAACTATGAAACAAAGCTCTTCCAGGGAAGTCTTTCCATAACATCTTAGTAAAAAGTAACCCTTTCAAAGTTGTTATTACTGAGAGATCACTGTGCATCGGTATCCGTTATCGGAGGCACAAATGCCGCATTGTCCGTCCGTCCGTTCGTCGTGTGTTTGTCTTTGTGGGCATTCTATTTGCTATTTGCCTAATGCGTGAATATTTGCATTTGTTTGAGTCGAACTGTGTGTGTGGGTTGAGTGTGTGTTGGGTGTGCGTGAGTGAGTGGGTGTTGTTTTTGCTGGTACGTTGTTGCAATGGCAAATACAACACAAACAATACACAAAACGAAATAATCAGCAAAAGAATAAATAAAGAAAAAAATACGGGAACTAAACTAAACTAATCACTAAATAGGGGGAGGCTGGGAAGGATCACCACAAATCGGGGGCGTGGTTGAATATGAAAACCATGAGCCATGAGTGTATCGGTAATCTGTTCTTGGGCTTTTTACTTGGAAACGAAGGGCAGGTCACCTACAAGCGCGGTTTGCCAACCTTTCTGTTTTGTTGTATTGCATATATAAAAGCAGACACGACTACAGATCATATTTGAGATATAGGATGCTATATGAAAGGCTATGACAAGGAATTAATCGCTGAATCTATTTGAATATACAAAACATATGGGTTTTACCCATGTCTTTAAAAGCAGAAGTCTTGAATTTTATACTATTAAACTATTATTCTATATTATTTTATAGTATCTGTTCATCTTAAAGCATTTTTGATATACAATTTACTATTAGCAAACTCTAAATCTTCAGGTTATAAATTACATATTATTAACTCCACATTAACTCTATCTATCAAAAATATGCTGGCTATGCTATTGTTTAGACTATATTTCTAACGCTAATTAAGGCTTCCCAACTAGATGCCATCACAATTATTATTAATCCCTTTTCGATGACTTGATGATTTTCACAGAACGCATGAAATGATCAGATTTTACGGGAGGGAGAGGACAATTTGTGGGAGGGTGAGTAGAGTTATACCAAGAACCCAGCATACAGGATATAATACTTAATCATAATGGAGGGAGAGACAGAGAGATAGAGACATGACTCAGAACCGTGAGAGATCAGCCACCAATCGAACATACGAACATACATAACTAAAAGAGTAAAATCTCGAATAATTCAGGATGTTTCGGTTTCGGTTCGCCTTGGATTCCCCATAGGAACTCCAAGGACTTTTCAATCAAATCAAAGTAAAGCTTAATGGGTTCGCTATAGTTAGGAGACAGGGAATTAAGATAGGATCAAAAACTCACTCCGTATCGGCTGTACGTAGGTGAATCATAACTGGAGCCGCTCAGATACGACGAAGAGCTGGTTGTGCGGTAGGCGGACGCTGTGGATCCGGAACCACCGCTCAGATACGACGACGACGATGTTGATCCTACGCTGCTCCTTTGCAGGCTGCTGCGCGGCACATACGATGATCCTGAGGTTGAATGGCTTGCAGAGGAGGAGTACGCCGAATATGAGCTGGGGTAATAGCTGCTACCGTAGCCGGACGTGGACGTGGATGAGGAGGAGCCACCGGACGTGGGCAGCCACTTGGAGAGGCTGCTGCCGCGATCGTAGCTGCCCGAGTACCGCGAATATCCGTTCGTGGTGGCCCCGACGCTGGACCGATCCACCGCGCTACCGCTAGCTGAGCCGGTGGCTGAGCCGCTGCCGCCGGACGACGACGACGATGTGCCGTAGAGACTGCCGGTGCCCGCCGCTGACGTTGACGATCTACGCGGCGCGATTACACGCATATTAGTGGCAGCAGCAGCAGCAGCAGTGACCTAGTCCCGGATTTAATCAGGATGAATGTCCAGCCGAGCGTTGTTTGATGATTTTTTTTTTATTAATTAATGCACGTCCTTCCGTTTGTCCTTTCTTAAATTCCTTTCCGTTGCCTCCTCAATGTTTGTCTGATGCTTTCTAGGTAAAGATTTTCGAATACTTTGAAATGCTTGACTGGAAATTGATTTCAGCTTACCTTGTCTCCTCCTGTATCTTCTTATTTACATTTATCCAAGCATTATCTTCTAGTTTTAGTTTAAATTTAAACTTAATTGCTTCTTATGTGCTACATCTAAGACCCGTTGTTGTTCCTGCTGAAGTAGTAGGCAAATATCTAAAAGAAAAAAGCATATGCCAGGTATAAAATATCATACGTAGTTAGATAGTTTAAAATGGATCGGAACAGTCATTTTCTGATATTGTAAAAACTGTTAAATATTGTATTATATTAAAATTTTTGTAACTTTGTGTTTTTATTTTTCAGCTTTTGTTTTTTTTTATGTATTTTCTGATCAATTCTTTTTTTCCAGTGAAAAAATTCAACATTTTCCCGTTGCTTAAATGCCATTGGCCTCGCGCATACCGTTATTCAGCGTGTTTACTATTATGTTTTTCGGGTTTGAAGAGTATTCAAGGCTGTCGAGTTGAAGGTTTCTTTTCTCTCTCCATAGAATTCGAAGGGATGCCAAGGATAACTGTTTTTCAAGGGGAACTCGGTCTGCCACTTCCATGACCCCCGCCTCCGCCTATGCTCGATTGATTTTTCACAAACACACACACTCACACATAGTAATCAATTAATTAAGCGATGAAACAACAAGAGGAATTTCAGCTACGTTATTTGCCTTTTTTTTGCTGCTGCATCTCTGGCCGTTTCGGCCTTCGGGCTGTCCAACGGTTTTTCCCAATTGGAATAATAAACAGTTAGGCGGAGAATAGAAACCGATCAGCTGCGTCACTTGTTTACAATTGCAAAATAACAATACAAAAAAAGAAGAAAAAACTGCATGCTCGTCATAACAACAATTACGTAGGGCGAGAGGGGCAGAGTGGGAGGTGATGGGTGGCTGGCTGGCTGGCCTTATGCGGTAACACTAAAAATGAAGTTACGGCTGAGCGTTCGTGTGTGTGTGTGTGTGTGCCGCCAGGCAGTCTACGTTCCCGTACGAGGAAACCGTTGCTTTTCCAGCACATGTATGGGTGTTCCTTGGTTGGCAAAGGAAGGGGGGCTGTCGAACAGCGCTTAACTATTATAAAACGGCCACACTATCAATCGATCTTTCGTTCATAAAATACTACAACTACAACCCATTCACACGCACGCACACACCCACACAAAAGCACGCACCAGCACACACCAGCGTAACCATGGGCAGCACACCACACGCACTTGCAATTGCCTTTTCGAACAACAATAAATGAAATTCTTCAAGTTCACACACAGACACCAGTGCACCTGAACTTTTCCACGGTTACCACGTTTTAATCGCTTTCTTTGGATAAAAAAAAAGTATAGATATATGTGTCTTTTCACTGCCAAAGCGGAACGTCAAAAATCGAAATAATTATGATAAAAGCAACAACAAAATATAAAACGAAACGAAATGAATTCTATTTATAAAGGCGCACACACACACATACACACGCGCGAAAATATTGTGTGTTGGTTTGACAGTGAAATGGGAATGAGAGGGGAACGCTGTGGCGGCAGGGAGTAAGGGATGGCAGTAGTAAAATCTGCGATGAGCATATGCGTGCAGGCGAGATAGCAATATTGGCGACACAGTCACAGTCACACACACTCACACCACGGCCACACGGCCACGAGCTCTCTCTCACACACACACTCTGCCAGACGGCAGGCAACGTACGAATTACGCAAAGTGAAATATCTTTCTCAAAATGGAAAGTGGAAAAGTGATTTAAAAAAAAAGTTTATACCAAAATAGGAGCGAGAGAGAGCGCGGCTATGGGTGCACAGGGAGAGGAGAGCGGGCAATTGGGGAAAATTTGACCGCAAAACGAACATCACGACGCGAACGAGGTCGCGCGGCCGCAAAAAAAATAGAGTTTCTTCTTGATCTAACGAAATATTGCAACGCGAGCCTACCGTCTCACTTGTTTTACATCGAAAAACTATAATTTTCGGCTGATTTTAAGCAATTTTCAACACAGCACAGAACTCACTTTGCAATCTGATTTTTTTTTATTTTGGCCGGTGTGACCGCGCTGCACTAATGTCAGAACGACAAAACAAAATACCAAGTGCTATTTTCAGCTGCCTATCGATACTAATCGATAGATATTTGGTATATTCTGTCACTCGCTCCCAGTATATACATAGTTGGTGGTATATTTCGACGGTCATATTACGGTCACACTGTATACATTTTCAGTGAAAATTCTTGAGGAAGAAATTCTATTGAAAATTCGTAAAACAATAACTTTGTTCCGTATCGCCGATCAAACAGTCTTGCCGCACAGCCACGCGAATCGCGTATATCACAAAAGCAGGTGTTATCAATTGTCGCGCGGACTAGCAGAAGCAGCAGTTGCAAATTTCGTTCTTGGCCGCCGCAACTGCAATTGTCGCGTCGCATTACGTTTCCAGTGTTGCCACCAACTTTTCCGGGTTGAGGCCGCCGCCGGGAACATTTTGGTAGCCAAGCCGGACGCGTTGCGGCCGGGGGATAATGTCCATGCCGCTGGGTCTGTGATTTGTTATATATCGAGCTCCATCTACCCAACTGGAGGATACACATTACCGTCTTGCGTATATTATTTGGTCGGAAAACGGCCGAGCTGGCAACACTGCGAGGGGAACAAAATGAAGTGACAGAGAGCGAAAAAAAGCTAAAGAAAACCTAAGAAAAGCTGCAGAATAGTGAGGGGGGAAAAGTGCAAATGCAAGGCGCTAGCGAAGATCTCTGTTACCACCCGTTCCATGAGGCGCAGCAGATAGGCTTGTGGTTGAGTTTTCCGCTGTTCTGAGTGGTCGTCATTATCAATCATTATCATCGTCATTATAATCATCATCGGTCATCGTCATTAGCCAGCCGTCAGCCAGCCAGCCAGCCTTGAGGTGACTCTGCCGCATTAGCTTCCTCTCGATCTCGATCTCTTGGAATTCCATCGCACACCCACACAGTTCAGGTGGGTTTTCCGTGGCTCCAGCTTCTCCAGATCTTTAACCACTTGAACCCATCCTCTGCAGTCATGTCATCGACCGCCGGCAAGCGCAAGGAGATCTACAAATATCTCGCACCATGGCCGCTGTACTCCATGAACTGGAGCGTCCGGCCGGACAAACGTTTCCGGCTCGCCCTGGGCAGCTTCATTGAGGAGTACAACAACAAGGTGCAGATCATCAGCCTGGACGAGGACACCAGCGAATTTAGTGCCAAGAGGTAAGGAGTTATATGCTGAAACATCATCTAATTACCATCTTTAATGTATCTTTACCTCCTGTCGCTTAGCACCTTTGACCATCCATATCCAACGACCAAGATCATGTGGATACCCGACTCCAAGGGCGTCTATCCTGACCTGCTGGCCACCAGTGGCGATTATTTGCGCGTGTGGCGTGCCGGCGAACCGGACACACGGCTGGAGTGTGTGCTAAATAACAACAAGAACAGCGACTTTTGCGCACCGCTCACCTCGTTCGATTGGAATGAGGTGGACCCGAATCTGGTGGGCACCTCCTCGATCGATACCACCTGCACCATATGGGGCTTGGAGACAGGACAGCCGCATGCCCGGGTCTATGTGGCGGGACATGTGAAGACACAGCTGATAGCCCATGACAAGGAGGTGTACGACATAGCCTTCTCGCGGGCAGGCGGTGGCCGGGATATGTTTGCCTCGGTGGGGGCCGATGGATCCGTGCGCATGTTTGATTTGCGGCATTTGGAGCACTCGACCATTATATATGAGGTAGGAATGATCTCAATCAACACCAGGTTAGATTCTATTCTATATTTTGGTATATTCCATTCAGGATCCAGCACACACGGCGCTCCTGCGGTTGGCCTGGAATAAACAGGATCCGAACTATTTAGCCACTGTTGCCATGGACTCGTGCGAAGTTATTATTTTAGATGTTCGTGTTCCTTGTACACCCGTTGCAAGACTGAGCAATCACAGAGCGTGCGTCAACGGTATTGCGTGGGCGCCGCATAGGTGAGTGTATAAAGCTCTGGTATCTTCTAGTTCTCTTTCAAAAACACCTCTTGTTCCCCTACCCCCATCCCATCGTCCAGTTCCTGTCACATATGCACTGCCGGTGATGATCACCAAGCACTGATCTGGGATATACAACAAATGCCACGCGCAATCGAGGATCCAATTTTAGCCTATACAGCTGCCGAGGGCGAAGTCAATCAGATCCAATGGGGCGCCACACAGCCCGACTGGATAGCCATTTGCTACAACAAAGCGTGCGAGATCCTCAGGGTTTAAGAGTCAATTTTTATTTATTTATATATGTATTTTAATTTCTCCCCCCTCTGTGTCGGCTGAGTAACGCACACAGAACCCACACACCGCGAACACATAGACACCTCTTTGCTGTTGTTTATCCTCCTTTTTTTCCTTAGAAGAAGTTGAGCTTGAGTTTCATTTTCGTTGTGTCTTGTGGAGAGTAGGGAGGAGGAGCATGAGGCAGGTTAGGGAGATGGCAAAGGCGACGGAGCATGTATTTTAGAGACATCTTAGCTTAGTACACACACACACACACAAGTATATATATATATAAGTCTAAAGGTATAACCAAACTATGTATTTCTATAATTATGCATGTAGTTTATTTCACACACTGACAACGGCAACAAAGGAAAAACAAAAGAAAAGCTAATGAACCCCGCAGAATCGATTTGAGGCGCTCCTTTAATTTATTTTAAACAAAAAGATTTCAGAAACAATGATCCTACCTCGTTTTTTGTAACCAATTTTTTGTGTCTGGCACAGAGACAGGGAGAAGGAGAGAGGGGCAAGGCAAGGCTTTTTCGAAATATTTTTCACTTTTTTTTCTATTGAGAACCAAAAAGAAAACGAACAGAAAACTGAAAACTGAAAACCAACCAACAAACAAACGGAAGATATGAAGGCAGTAGAAACAGAAGCAAAACCATGGACTTAAGCGAATGCAAAAAAAAAAACAAGAAATGAATTAAATAAATAAGAATAAAGAAACAAAAAAATACTTACAAAAATATAAAACCGAATAAAAAGCACACACAAGACAACAAAAAAAAACAAAAACCACAGCTAACAACACAATACTATTTAAAACAAAAAAATAACAAAAACTACAAACAAAAGCAAAATACCGAAATATATGAGCGAGAGAGAATACAAGATTGTTGCTATATCCATTTAACGAACGAAATAAAAACAAAACAAAATACAAGGCAAAACCGTAACTATGATCATTTCGAGAATAGGACTCTCCCCCATTAAATAATCTCCAACAACAACCAACAAATAAACTCATTTTTTTATGTATCTTATGTACTTTATAGCAATTTCACCTCATATATATACTATATATATATATAGAAGGATATATATACAGAAACGCGATAGCAATACACCAGATAATCCCCAAAATGATCATGTATTGTAAATAACAACATGAAAACTTTGTAAAACAAAACAAAAAATATATATATAAACAATCAGGAGTGGAGTTGCAAAAGCATCGATTTTTTTTCGATATTTTAACATGTAAACATCAATGTATCGGCCAATAAAAAAAAAATTGGTGCTTTTGCAGCTCTAATCAGAACAGAGCCGTAAAGAACTTTTGAACAAGACTTAGCCCCTTGATTTTTGTAATGCCATATTTAAGAGATCGAATCCGAAACCGAACCCCCTTTCAACTTGAAATACTCCCCAGCAAAAAAAGCAGAATAAAATAAAATTAAATCGAATTGAGATTAGGGATGTCAGAAAAACAAAAACGTTATATCGTTACTGCATCGATATATAAAGCGAAAATTGATATATAAATCGATAAAAAAAATATTTTAGCAATGCAATAAATAGATTTCCTTTTGATATATTGAACCAATATAATCGAAAAAGTGAAATAAATGAAGACACACTTTTCGAAAATGTTGGTTTTGATAATCTCGATATTTTAACATTAAATGCGTTAATTTTCAATATTTAAAAATTCGATTTAATAATGAAAATGCTATCTTTGCCCTTATATCAGATCGGGCCTTCCCTCTCGATATATATACACATCCCTGATCGAAAACGATAACGAATTGAAAACGATTAAAATCATTTTTGATATTTGTACATCGATTTTCATTGATTTTTTGCAATAATAATGGTTTCTTATCGGAAATTAGAAGTAAACAAAAGAAAAGAAAAACAAATATTAGCAAATAATTCGATAAAGAGGCTCCCCGAACATGTTCTCCTCTCAGTTTTTGTTCTCTTTTTGCATTATCTCTGTATTTACGTTGGCCATTTGTAAACACACATAAAACACACCCAACACAACACACCCCAGCGCATAAATATAAAGACACCCAGGCCGGGCGGCGATTACTAGGATTACAATGTAAGGTAACGCCGATCTTGGTGGAGTTCACCTAAACCCAAACAAAGCAAAAAAAAAAAACAAACCACTAAACGAAACGAAACAAATCGACGATGATGGAGAGGATGAAGGCGTGGAGTAAAAACAAACCAAAACAGACGACAAAAAATATTTAAATAAACCATTTTTAAATAAAAACCAATCTTATTAAATCAAATCCGGCAAATCGGCGGGCGGACAAATGTTACTAATATCCACCACACCGCGTAGCTTCTCCCCTTTGGCATCCTTTTCAGCATCCTTTCCAGGAGGAGCAGGCTTGATCCTGGCCGAAGTGGCCTTGGGGGTTAGCAGCTCATTGACTTTCAGCTTACGCAGTATCACCATCAAATGGCCCGTGGTTTGGGAACGCTGGACCGTGGACTCGTCCGGCTTGACCTCTTCGTTGTAGGCTATCTGGAAAATCTTGCCCTTGACGGTCACCCGAGTGTAGTTGGTTTGAACGTCTACGTCGATGAGGGAGGTGTCCAGGTGTCTTGAGAAGGAGGAAAGAATTGCACAGGTTGGGTTAAATGAATAAATAAAGTATGTATCTGCATTATACATTGGAAAACAAACGATATTAATTATTTCAACTTTAAATATCCAAAATATAGGTTATATCACCCACCTGTAAACCTCCAGCTGGAGCTGGTAGTGATCGGCCTCGTCCTGGAACTTAAAGGGCAGCTTGGCCTGGTTCATGTTATAGGGTCTGCCGTCGGGGGCAAAGAAGTGACGCTCTCGACGCGGTGGATCCAGCGTCGACTTGGGCTCATGGCGCTCCCTGCCCAGCCTGTGCTGGCGGGCAATCTCGGTGCGAATCTCCGGGCAATGCTCGCTCTTGGCCTGCCAAAAGGCCTTAATGCGCTCCTCCTCGTCCTCGATGCCGGCACACTGTTCGGCCAGGGCGGCCTGCTGCTCGGCTACCCGGATGCGCTGCTCATCCCGTTCGATGGACTGATCCGCCTGCCTTTGGACAATAATGGCCCGATTCTTGGCCAACTCTCGAATGGCCTGCAGGCGTTCCGATGGCGTAATCTCGACACAGTCCAGGCTGGTTAGCTGCGGCAGAGTGGCCACCACATAGTCCCGGTAATGGGGATAATCCACACAGGGATTCCCTATCAGCAGCAGCTCGCGGAGATTGTGATTGCCGCGCAGCGACTCCACGCTAGTCAGTTCGCCGATAAAGTTCAGGGTGAGGTCTAGTTTGTTGAGGGACTCGCAGCCCTCGAGATTCTCCACCCGTTCGATATTGTTGATGGCCACATTGAGGTACTCCAGGCACTTCAGCTTGTGCAGATTCTCGAGGCGAGCTATCAGGTTGGACTGGAGCAGCAGAATCTTGAGGTCACGACACCAGTTCTGGATGTGCTCGATGACCTCGATGTCCTCCTGGTGCAGGGATATTTCCTCCAGGGTGCTGATGAGGCGCTCATTGTGCTCCGATTTCTTGCGCACCAACTCCTCGGTAACTATGCAGAATATATTTGTATAACTTTGTAAAATCCTAATTAAAATTAAGTTACAAAGTATTCTTACTTCGCACCATGATGACGCCGACCAGTGAGTGTGTTTTCCAAACTTCAAATGGAAAACAAAGGAAAGACAGGAAAAGTAAAAGTCAAAGCCGCCTCCGTTGCTAGGCATTTTCCCATTCCTCACTTTTTGTTATTTTCGTGTCTATTATTTTTTATAGAAACTTTGAGTAGCAACAATTTATTATAGCGAAAAAATTAAAATAGTAATTTTAAAATTGCTCATTTTAATTTCACGATTTATAATAATAATTTTGTTTGCATTATTATGAAAATTAGTTAAAATTTGCATTGGCTTCTGTAAAATCGTAACATGAATTTTGAATTAATTCCCTATTAAACTTAAAATAGTTAAAGTAATTTAAATAATACATTTAAATTCGATTAAAATTATCGATGTGTGCTGCGCAGTGCGCACTCAATTGCACATCGATTGTGACGTCATCGATAAATCCACAAACAGTCACGAAATTCACTCTAAAAATGCTTTATATTTGACTTTCTGTACCAGGCGAACATAAAACTCAGCAAGCAGCTGAGCGCCTGAATTAAAAGTCCCAAAGTAACGGTTCTTAAAAGATGAGAACCTAAAGAACCTCTCTGATTGGTCTAATCAGATGTAAACAAAGGGCGGCCATTAATATTTAGGTTCTAAAGTAACGGATCTTTATAGAGAGTAATGCGAAGAGCTTCTCTGATTGGTCTAATTAGATGTAAACAAAGGGCGGCCATAATTGATTTGTTCTAAAGTAACGGATCTTCAAATCGAGAGGTTTGCAAAGGGCTTCTCTGATTGGTCTAATCAGATGTAAACAAAGGGCGGCCATTACTGTTCTGGAAAAGATCCGTTATGAACAGCGCTTGTTCTTGTGCTGCAGGGTTGCTGCCAGTGGTTTCTGTTTGCCTGGTATATCAGAAGCGTTAGATTTGTTAAATTAGTCTTTTTAAAGCCCACATTTCAAAGTTTTGCAAGGGGAAACAGACACCATGAAAATTGTAATTAAATTGATTTAATATGAAATCTTTTAAATATTTTTCCAGTCCATTCAAAAAGCTTACATCAAAATCAACAATAATAAAACGTATGTAGATAACGATTCAGTGATATATTCGATACAGTAAATGCAATCTATTCCAGACCACACTCAACTAATTTGGACGACAATGGAAGTCACTTAAGGCCGCTTGCGAGATAAGAGAACGGAGGTGCCTTCCGGGTGTGCCGCCTGCACCCACCTACCTCCATTGGCCGGTATTTCGCCCCTGACCGACTGAGAGAGAGAGAGAGGGAGAGAAATCTAATCAGTTGAATTAGAATTAAGTAGCTGGAACAACGCGAGCGAATTAATTGCGACGTGTTTTGAATCAGTCACCGGACGGCGGCCAGACGGAGCACACACATTCACACCCAGTAATCTCTCGATCGCGATGGGAATCGATGGCGATATGGATAGTTTCGCTGGCGATATCTTGCGGCCACTCAGCGATAGCGAAGTGGACCAGCTGCTCGATCTCTACAAGGCCAAGTTTGGCGTGAGGAATTTCCATTATTTGCTGATGTACAACCAGCGGAAATGGGACCGCCAGCTAGACGAGGCCCAGATTTTGCGCTCCGATCCCGCGTATATATCCCTGCGCAAACAGTTCTTCACCCATCGCAGCGGGGACTTCCGAAAGTGGGGCACCTATGTTAGCCTTCATCGGGACATTGTCCAAAGTGTTTCGTTCTTCAGCTGGCAGTCGGATGGAGCGGCCGAGATGTGGCAGTGCCTGGAGGAAACCAAACGCATCGAGTGGACGCAGGGCGCCCTCTTGACCAATGTGGATCTGGACTTTTGTGAACGGGTTAAGGAGCTGGCTGGCCAGCGTGGTGTCACCGAAATGCAGCCGCGTCAGTGCTACGGCATGGTTCTGCCACATCAGGCGGCTCTCGACACCGAAGTGCCGGAGCTGCTCTCTGAGTTCGATATGCGACGGCTGACGGACGAGGATGCGGCCATGGTACACGGCACCTGGCCCAACAAGGGCGAGGGCTCATTGGCCTATCTTCGGGCACTGATCCGGTTCAACAGGACGATGGGCATTTGCCGGAGCGACACGGGCGAGCTGATAGCCTGGATCTTCCAGAACGACTTCTCCGGCCTGGGGTGAGTTTTTAGCTCTAGGGAAAGGTTTGCTAACTAATCCGAATCCTTTCCGATTCTAGCATGCTGCAAGTTCTGCCCAAGGCGGAGCGACGTGGCTTGGGCGGTCTTCTAGCCGCTGCCATGACACGCAGAATAGCCAGGGGCGAGCCGGATCTCACACTGACCGCCTGGATAGTGGCCACCAACTGGCGCTCGGAGGCGTTGCTCAAGAGGATTGGGTACCAGAAGGAGCTGGTCAACGAGTGGATCAAGTTGTTGTAGAGAGTCTTGGCGTGGGATAAAGGTTGGTTAGTTTTTGGGGGGCTTGGGTTTAGTTCAGTTCGGTTTAGTCAGGTCAGGAACTAAATGTACATATGTATGTGCGTTAAATCGATATTCTATTGGAAGATAAATAAATAAAATCACATAATTTTTTGATAAAATCTATGTTTTAACTTAAAATGCGATCTTTTTTGATATATATAATACCAAAAAATAATAGTTTACTATATTTAAAACATGATATCGAATAAAATCAATATCTTAGAGTTAAATGCGAAATTTTTAGCTAGATAAAAGTTCTTTATATCAAAAATTTACCATTTTTTTTTCGATACAACTTTTACTCCCCGATTTATGTACAAACATATGTACATCCCTAGTGACAAAACATACAAAGATTTGCATTTGCTATCTGTGCCTATGTACATGGTCAACAATTTTATTCTGAATACACTTTTCGGCTTATTCGAAATTCAAAAACAAATTCGAAACTAGCGGGGTAGGGGCAAGGGATAGGGAAAGAGGGGGATATGGAAATCGGGCGGACACACAAAATACTTATTTACAAACACAGTTGCGCCTCTATCTCTATTATCAAAAATACAATTTGCATTTTGGGCCAACTGAAGAGGCACAACAAGCGCACATAAATTCGACTTGCCAGTTGTTTTAATTTCTTGTAAATCGTTTTGTTTTCATCGATAGTCTCTTTCTATTTTTTTCGTTTGTTTTACTTAGCACCTTTTTCGAAATTCACTTAAAAACGTAGTCGTATTTCTCCATTTTCAATTTCAATTACAAAGTTGAGGAAAAGAAAATGCAAATCAAGCTAATTTTATGTTCAACTTAAAGGTAAACATTAGGGTTTAACTCTCATTCTTCGTCAAGTTGGATTTTACTTAATATTATTTTTTACTGCCTTTAAAGTTGTGCCTCTTTAGTCAGCTGTGTATAATACATAGAGCTTGTAGAAAACAAGTTGCTGTTCCCCAGCTGAGCGCCTCTTCTAACGCTCTTTCATCAATCTTTCAGCTTCCAAAAGAGCGATTAAGATAAGCGCTTGCTCTCTGGGAGATGGTCTGATAAGGAACAACGTTTAGTTACAAGCTAAACAAATACATATGTACACTTTACATACATTTCGAAGAGAGAAGGGGAGATGGATAGAGAGAAAGGGAGACACAGAGTGAGAGAGAGAGACGGCGAGGAGGAGAAAGGGAGCGATGGAGAGAGTCCGGGGTGTACGTCATTCACTAAACTACAAACTACACAAACAGTAGCCGCGTGGCAGCCGTACCGCTTGGCATTCCGCTGCCATTCGCCAGCAGGCTATTGCTCGGCGTCATTGTCGTCGCCCGGTGCAGACCATTGGATAGCTTTCCGTTGACAGAGCCCCGGTAATAGGGATCCGTTTGCTGCTCCAGCGGCTGGTACTTAATGTGCGAGCTCTGGGACAGCGGCAACGTGGGTGCCTCTCGTCCCTTGGTTATTTGCTTGGCCCGATTGTAGCACAGAACGCCGACAATGGCCAGTGTCATGCCCAGGCAGTTGATCCACGTTACGGGGTTGCCCAGAATTAGCAGCGAAACGGCTATGACGAATATTCGCTTCGAGGCGCTGGCCACCGCGTACGTGAGCGGTGTGACCAGCGAGAGGACACTGAAGGCGATGATGTTCTGCAGCCAATTGAGCACGCCGTCCGCAAAGAGCAGGGCAATCACTCTATAGTCCAGGTTTTTCTGAAAGGACACAAGACAAATTAATTAATAATATTAATGGGGTATTTGCAAAAATCTACACCATTTTTTTGTACTAACGATTGCATTGTGGCGGAAGACAGCAAAGCTGTCCATATACAGCCAAAGGGGCAGGAAGATGAACAGCGATAGCTTGCCAAGCAGATGCAGCAATCGCAGGTGATGGATGTTGGTATCCTTGAGGACCTAAGGATATAAAGATAAGATGAAGAATTAAAGTCTTGCCTTAATGAAAGTAGAAAACTGGACTCGTACCTTCTTGGAGAAAATGTTCTGCATGGAGAAGCCCATCGTGGAGATGAGGGCACTGATCAGACCCATCATATCGAAGGAGATCTCCGTGACGGTGGCAATGCCCACGCCCGTTATGATGGGCAGCAGGCTCAGGTACACGAGCGTTGGCTGTTTCTCGCCAAAGAAGAGGCGCGTAAGGACGACGGTGAATAGTGGCATTGTGGCTTTAACTGAAAGAAGGAACGAAAATGTATGGTTTAATAGAATAACTTTAAGGTATCAAAACCTTTTAAATGAGAGAGCTACGTTTCATACAAAAATGTGTTTAAATAAAATACAAACAGTATACATTATAAATTATTATATATTAAATTATGTATTTAACCATTTTAATAATTTCTTTAAAACAAATCTGACTCAATTACTGATATTTTTCATGCCTATAGCAATATTAACCCTTTAAATTCAACGTATTACTTATTAATTCATTCAAAAAAGGTTGAATTATTTATTTACCACTTTGATATACTTTTTCACATGATCAGAATGATTAAAACTCCCCATTAACAACATTTACATGTAAGCAAAGCCACTTTGAGCAGCGAAGAGATATCTAATTTCAAGTATCTACACAGATAGCCAGCATATGATAGCCATAGCCCCTACTGCTGACGTGTTGGTGAAGCACACTTTGGCGGGCAACTCCACCTGCTAGTAACTCACCTGTGTGCGCATAGGAAACGGGGACCTTCCACAGCGAAATGTGCGATGTGACCGAGGCGAGCAGCTTGCCCACAGCCAGGGGCACAATCAGCCGGTAGAAGTAAGGACGCGGTATCTCCTGGTACTTCCGGATGCGCCACAGATTGAAGAAGGGGCCGCTATACAGCGTTATGCTGCACAGCTGCACCAGCGTTACGGTCATCGGGAAGGGGAACTCGTTCAGCACCATCTTGCCGATCACATTGTTGCTGGAGGAGATCACATACCAGAACAAGCACATCAGCAGCACTACGGCTACGTGCCGCGATCCCGTCCGCTTGCCGCCCAGCATTCTGTTCTGTTTTGTCCGTGGGAATCACGGCCCTTGCCTTGCTCTCGTGGCGGCACTCAAGTCCCCCGTTGCGGATTCGGCCGCAAATCGAAGCGGTGGCAAGTGCGGGGCCTGGTAGCTAGCGAGCTGGTGGCCTGGTCTGCGGGTCTGCTAGGCTTTCCGGCACACGGCGACTATTGCATTGCGCTTGATTTTGGTTTTAAATAAAAAACGTCGTCTGTTTGTTTTCGACGTGTACCTGCCAGTGTGACCAAATGTGAAGCTCTTAGCCCACGGGAAAAATATGTTTGCTGGTATTTTTTCTGAATATACTACTAAGTATATATCGATTAGATCCACGTTCAGCAGAACTATCGACAAGAAATCATCGATGATCAGTGATTACAAATGCAGTGACTTAGAACAAGGCTTTGAATTCTAATTAAAAACCAATAGCTACAGTTGCTGAAAGAAATTAAGCATATTTTGGGAAGCCGGGATTTTTATACCCTTGTAGCTTGCAATTGATAAATTTATATTTTTAAATTTATTAATTTTAATTCGGAAAACTATCCTATGTTAGTTTATTTAAGTGTAATAAATCTGAATACTCTATTAAAATTGTAAAAGAATTGAAATGACTCCTTCACTGCTTTATCAGCTTCTGATTAAAATTAGAATACCATTTTTTAACCGATATTTATCCACTTTTGTATGTGACAATTTTTTAGACAAATCTAAATTTAAAAATATCATAACTCTGCCAAAAATGCATTAAATTTAATTCGGAAAGCTGTCCCATGTTTGTTTTTGTTAGGTTAACAAATCTGCATACTCCATTTAAAAAGTAAAAAAATTAAAATTTTTTATAAATTTTCTGACAATTTTAACGATGTAAACCTTATAAAATTTCGAAAAAATGTAGTAAAATTATTTTTCTACCAGACATGGCTAAATCGATTCGGATTTTGATGCTGATCAAGAATATATATAATATATAGGGTCGGAAATGACTCCTTCACTGTTTTACCATCCTCTGATTAAAATTAGAATACCATATTTTAACCCATATTTATCTATTTTTTTATGCGACAATTTTTTAGACAAATCTAAATTTAAAAATATCATAACTGTGCCAAAAATGCATTAAATTTAATTCGGAAAGCTGTCCTATGTTTGTTTTTGTTAGGTTAACAAATCTGCATACTCCATTTAAAAAGTAAAAAAATTAAATTTTTTTATAAATTTTCTGACAATTTTAACGATGTAAACCCTTATAAAATTTCGAAAAAATTTAGTTAAATTATTTTTCTACCAGACATGACTAAATCGATTCGGATTTTGATGCTTATCAAGAATATATATAATATATAGGGTCGGAAATGACTCCTTCACTGTTTTACCATCCTCTGATTAAAATTAGAATACCATATTTTAACCCATATTTATCTATTTTTTTATGCGACAATTTTTTAGACAAATCTAAATTTAAAAATATCATAACTGTGCCAAAAATGCATTAAATTTAATTCGGAAAGCTGTCCTATGTTTGTTTTTGTTAGGTTAACAAATCTGCATACTCCATTTAAAATGTAAAAAATTAACTTTTTTATCAATTTTTTAACCCCTTATAAAATATCGAAAAAATTGCCAAAAAATTATATTCTTCCCAACATGCCTAGAAAGATTCGCCTGTTGATGCTGATCAAGAATATATATGATTTATAGGGTCGGAAATGATTCCTTCACTGCTTTATCAGCTTCTGACTAAGATTATAATACCCAGCAAAGGTATAAATATCTACACATTCCTGTTTTCCAATTTATTTCAAATGATATTTTTGATGTTTAATTAACAATGTTTCATTTTTATTTTTCCTTTAAGAAAAAAACACTTAGTTCTTAAGATTCCATGCTGTAAATATTATTATAATAATTGTTTTCGTCTTGGGCGTGTTGTGTTTGTGTGTGGGGTTTCCTCCTTGCTCCTTCTGCTAGTCCTGAGCCTCTCTTTCTCTTTCTCTATCTCTATCTCCCTCTCTCTCTCTCTCTTTAAAGGAGCCTTTGCGGAGTGTGAGTTGTGTGTTGGATTTCAATTAAATAATGCTTTTGAAATGTTTGTTTTTAAATGTACCGAAACAATTCACATTTTATTATTATTATTATTATTATAATATATGGGTTTTCCTTTTATTTGCTACAGCTGACATCAAGTACATTTTGCTTATGAGTTGCTTGATTTTATTTTTCCATTTCCACTCTTCTTTTTCATTTATTTTTAGGTTTTTCTTCTGTATTTCTAGTTAAACATTTAAATACGAGTTCTTTTGTCCACATGCCTATGAAAATACAGCGCTCATGCGTGTGTCTGTGTTCATGTAGTATAAATCTATATACCCTTCCGATGCTTTGCAAACTATATTGAAAAAAAAGAAAGAAACCACAAATTGAAGAGAACAAGTAGTTACTATTCCAACTACCGAGGATTTCTTCCCATAAGAGAGTTTTTACAAGTCTATGTAGGGTAGGATAGGTGTCTTGTCGTCACATTTTTCATAAAAAACTTGATTGATTGATTGATTCTTTGCTGCTGACCGTTTTTCAGGTAGATATATACTTTATTCCTTGACATATATCCAGGCATATAACTCGCCGATGATCCAACACAAATTGCTTATATAAATTCATTATAATCGTACAATATATAAATATATATATATATAGCGTGTGTGGGGGATGAAAGTAAATGCAAAATGCCAAACGAAAACATTAAATAACCAATTATATACATATATTATATATCATATATAATATATCATATAATCGGTCTGGGCTTGAGAAACATAGTCGGAAGGAGGGTGAAGCAGCTGTTTTGTAATTTTTCTTAGAGAGCGTCGGCCTAGCAGAGCATTTTCCTTTTGTTTTGTTTTTCATATTTTTGAAGCTTTTCCTTTGATTGATTTTAGTTTTTTTGCTTTTTCCCTTTATTTTGCAACTTGTTTAAGTTTCTTTTTTTTATTTAATTAATTTTTGTATTGGTTTTAGCTCTTACATTCTTAAAAAAAAAAAAACAAAAAATAGCAAAACAGTTAACAAAAAATATTTATAAAACTCAAGTTTATTCGGTGTCGAGAAAGAAATATATATAGTAGATTGTGTGTTTAATTTTGGCTTCTTTAAATAATTTTGTTTTTCCTTAAAAAATACTCCATCTACGCAATTTTGTCCATATTTGCCAACATTATCGAAATGCATCTTTAAAACGACTAAGACGGATATATATATATATATAGGTTGTAAATCACTTTTCAAGTAACATAATGTTTAACGTAAGCGATAATCCAAAAAATTAAATGATTGAGAAACGAAAAAAAAAAGAATGCGTTAGAACAAAAATCGGAGCTTTGATTTCAAATAGGGATTTTACCTCTTGCGAATATATATATTAATTTCTTAGCTTTTTTTGTTTGTCTTTCTTTGCTGTTGTTATGGTGCAGCGTTTAAATGATGTTGTAATGCCCCTGCTGCTTGCCGTTCGTTGTTGCTTGCTTGCTGCTGTTGTTGTAGATTGATGATGTTACTGTTGCATGTTGCTGCTGTTGCTGCTGCTGCATGTTGCATGTTGCATGTTGCATGTTAGGTGTTGCTGTCGTTGGTGTTGTGGTGTTTATGGCATTCAGAGAAAGAACTTGCCCAGCAAAAGGCTCAAGATGGCCGCAGCAATGGCAATTGCAATGTAAAAGACTGGAATCTGCTTCTCAGCCAAAACTGGGGCATAGGGCTCATTAACCTGCTTGATGGCCGCAGAGCTGCGGTAGCGTGTGATTTGATCCTGTAACAGAGACAGAGAGAAAGAAAAATTATTATCTAAACAATGAGCAATAAGCAATAAGCTTTGAACATCAACAAGTACCCAGACAATTATAAACAACGCCCTCATTAACAGGAACTAGTTTATCATTGGCTGAAACATAACGAGAAAAGTGTCATTCAATCCCATTGATAAACATTATCCGATTGTTTATTTCAACCGAATAACAAGAAAGAAAACTGGCAACTTCGAGAAGCCGCAGTTAAAACTGAATCTTAGAATCGAATCTGAAACCGATCATAAAAAAGCCTAGAGTTTGTTGTTTGCTTGCATTTCGAAATGCTTTTCTATGCTTTTGTTGATTGGGTTATAAAGATCTCGAAATTTTGTTATATTTCAACTTTTAAGTTTTTCTAGCGGACATTAAAGTGTTGCCTGTCCCCGGACCTACCTTCAAGTGGACAATTTCTTTTCGCAGTTCGCTGTTGACTTCACGCAGACCCTTAATCGTACCGGCCATCGACTCCACATCGGTTACATCTAGCAAATTCGAGGGCTGTATATGGAGGGATAAAATACCAGAGTTAACAGAGACAGCAGAGATCAGAGGAGTTTAAACATACCTTGTCCTCGCTGGCTAGCTTGGGCTTGCTCTCAAGCGCCTCGGCACTGGCTGAGCTGGTGTTGGCGCCCGCGCTGCCACCGCCGGCACTGCCGGTACCGCCGCCGACACCGATGTCACCGGCACCACCGGCGCCGCCGCTAGTGTTCTCGGCATTTGCATCGTTGTTGGGCATCTCAAACACACACTTCAGCTTGGCGTCCATCAGTTGCTCCGGCTCCAGTTCCTTCCACTAAACGCGAACGGGAAATAAATAAATATATATGAGTCATTACGGATTTTAATCTGGCTTACTTACCAATTTATTCAAATCGGTTAAATCGGCATCCGTGGGAGCCAGGACGCTCTGCACCATGAACTTGTGCTTGTTCTTCTCCTGTTGATCGTAGATAAATGGCTGCAGGCAGACTATAGGTGGTAATTCATATTAGAACAGATATTATATGTAGGTATCAAATAAATACTCACTCTCCACCTGGGTCGAACGATAAGGCAGGATCTTGCCAATGTTTGGACGTACGCAATAGCGCTTCGGGGCGGTTGTCTTGATCTTGAAGACCAAGGGCATAGCCGAATTGTTGCGCAGACTCATGATTGTGACGACGGGACGATTGAATGGTCCTGTAACGAAGACGAGAATGCGATAAGGAAAAGGATTAGCAAGGAACCTTCGATTAGTCACACTCCATTGGCGGCATTTTCACCCCCCCCCCAAATTCCGCCCACTTTCCACTTCGTTCCGCAGTTCTTTGGGTCCCGTCACGCCCATTGCGTCATTGGGGCGAAAAACAAGTTCAAATTAATTGAATTAAAAGCAAAACAAAAGCGGCAACTGGCTTAAAAACAGGAAAATATCGAGAAAGAAAAACTAGGCAAAATAATGGAGAGAGAGGGACGAATACCCTTGTAATGAAGTTATGGAGCATATAAAGTCCTTGGGATATAGTGTTAGAAGTTATAATATCTTAGATGTTTAAGATTATACTAAACATTTTTAAATCTTTGAAACTCTGTTGCTAAACTCAGACTTTACTAAACTATGTAAAGACGAAGAAACTGGAACTAATCAATTGTTTAAGGTATTGAAAGTGTTTAACATTATAATATTAAAACAAAAGTGGTAAAATTTATATATTTTACTAGCAACAAATAAATATATTAAAGTATAAAGAATTTACTTAACATTCAGCGTAAAAGTTCTCATGACATCTAACAAATGTTTCACGTATGTATTTTTTATTTACTAGTAATTGTAGGGTATCAACAACTTCAACGTAAGACTTCTACAATGGTTTTTGTGTCCCAATTAGAAATCGATCGTGGCCTCTTGACAAATCCCCAAATACTCTCCTGTTTTCTTTACGCGAGAGTGAGAGTGGGAATGGGCAAAGAGGAAGAGCAAAAGCAAAACACCGCAAAACAAAGTAACACGAATTCCTGCCTTTTAAATGGCCGCCGTTGTGTGCGTGCATGTTATGCGTGCTTGGGTGGGTGTGTGTGTGTGTGTGAGTGTGCTTCAAGGAAATTTCATTAGACAAAGTCGTCGCGTCATGCATGTGTTTTTGCTACTACCTCCCCCCCTTCTATTGTCCGCCCTAAAACACCCGCACACCCGGGCACCACCCACAATAGTCAACGATCAAACGAAGGGGGGGTGGTGGTGGGAAAAGAATGGGGCTAAGGCCCACAAACACACACAAATGCGTTCTTACACAAATATGAAATATTTGCGCACAGTGGGATAGGAGTTTCGTATTTAAATTGTATGCTTTCTTAATTATAGTTTAATTAAAACTACAATAGTTAATAACAACAATGAATATAGATAGTTGCCTTGATGTCGACCGAATATTAATAATTTTAAGAATTATTTTACGCATTTTCAATACATTTTCTGGCCACAGTGCAGCGAGTGAGTGCTTTTTGCTGTCATATTGCAATGTTGTTGCTGTTGCTGCCGCTGCCGCTTTTGCTGCTGTTGCTTTTTGGCCAAAATTCAAAAAGTAAAAGACAAGAAAAAATTAAAATGGCCCATGACAAGTTTTTGCGTATAAAAATAAAATGCTAGCCAAAAACGCTGGGCCGAAAGCGGGCGGGAGCGGGAGCCTAAGAGAGAACGCGTGAGCGAATGGGACAGGCTATGGAGTGCAAGAGAGAAAGAGAGCGACGCCAGCTGCCGGCATCAGAAAACTTGGCCGAGGGGGCGAAGAGGGTGATAACTAAGAAGACGAGACGGCACACGTAGACCTCAAAAAATGTACGAAGAAAATCATACGCGAGAAGAACAACAAAAACAACGGAAATTATTGATAAGCTGCAAAAGAAAGTAAACGAGAGAACACCACATATCGCACCGAGCCGAGAGAGAGCGAGAGTGAGAGCGCAAGCAGGGCAGAACGCGCTTGCTTGCTGCGCGTGTGTGCGTGCGAGCGAACTTTGCAGTTTGCTCCTCGGGCGGTCGGCCCTTCGAAGCGAATTTGCAACAAATTGGAGGTGAATTCGGCGTTAGTTCTTTGGTCGATATGAGACGACCTTCCCACCAAAACACAGAATGCAATAATCTTTCGTTCACTTACCAACAAAGCGCAATTCATGCTCCGGTTCAATGGTCAGCGGGGTCTCAAAGAGTGGCTTGCTCATTTTGGCGGCTCTTGATGTTTCTTCTGCTGCTACTGCTGGTGGATTGTTGTTGTTCGTTATGCGGCGCTGCTCTGCGCTCCTCTTTTCTTAACGTTGTTAAATTTCCGTTTATGTTTGTGCGGTTCGTCCTTTTTGATGATGTTGTTGGCTGTTAAGGAAATGCACACGGAATGGAATTACACTCGAACGTATATATATTTTTAACACACATACATAAATACAGGGGGAGAGAAATAAAGAGTGAAACAGGGAAAGGGCCAGGGGCAGGCAGGGGCTGTGTGACAGAGACAGGGAGAGAGGTGAGACACGGATGCTTGATTTTTCGCTTACGTTTGCGTTTTTTCGCCAGTACTCTCCGAAATGCCTGCTGTTGTTTTTATATCTGCAGCAATTTGCTTGTTTTGTTACCTTTTTTTGTGTTTCCCCCCGCGTTATTTCCTTTTCACACTGCGCGTTTTTCTCGTCCGTTTCGCTCACTGTCCGGAATATCGGTAAATTTGATGCGACCACACACACACGCTTGCGAAAACGGACAAAAAAAATAAAGGAATGGCCGAAAACTCACACTAACACACGCACGGCGGTTTTCTATTGTCGCGTGCGGTTATTTTGGAAAAAACTACGATCAACGTGCGTTTTTTCACTTCCTTCGGCTAGTTTTTCACTCCAATCTAGTCGAATGTTTTTCACGCACTCGGTCTTCGGGTTTTCCTTTCGTTAATTTTCATAGGCAAATGCAAAGCCACAAATTCTGCCAGAAAAACGCCTGTCAATTTAGAGATGAGACTATCGGGTGTTATCGATGATACGATGATACCTCATTATCGATAGTACGATGTACATATCGATTGGACAGAGCTTAAATATGTGGCTATTAAATATATGCTTTAGTACAAATGAGGAAATAGCTTAAGAGTAAGAATACACTTAAATATTAGCTTTAATTAAAAAAAGGCACCCGTACTCCGAGTTCCCTATACGACTAAATGACTGAACTTTTAAATACATCTGCGATATATTCAGCCGGATAGGCATCGACCCAAACGAATCGACCGCTAATATTTGAAACATCCCAGTGGAAAGCTTTAGAGTAAACTATAGTATTCTTCTGCTTCATTATGTTGTTTATGGATAAAAACCCTTGTATTTGTATTTAAAATTTAATATTTAAATTCTTCAAAAAATGTAACCATATCCTTTCGAAGGATATGAAGTATTACAAGATAATGTTGAAAATGCTTTATCCAGACTTGGTCTTGATGCTGTCAATAAACAGGTCCATCTTCTTCTTCACTTCCGACACTGTATCCTCCGGCGAACCGCCTACAATCAATGCCAGCCGCTGGGCCAACTCACGCTTCATGGGACTCCTCCTGCGTCTACGTGTGTACCCAATGCAGGCGTCCACGTGGCAGCCAAAGAGGAATATGTATGCCTCATTGGCGGTGTAGGAGTCTGCATGTTCCACAGACTTGGCGAGATCAAAGAAGAGGATGCAGTCGGTACGAGATTCAATGCTTTGGCGAAAGAGTATGGTGGCCTCTTGGGCGCTGGCTTGCGTCACCCAGCGTATAAATTTGCGTTGGTAGTTGGGATCCTCGGGCGGTGGCAGTTCTGCGGTGAGGAAATCCTGGTGTTGCAAGCAAGAGGTACAGGCATCAAACTTCTGGCGAAACTCTATAAAAGAAAACCAATGATTAAGAGGATCTAGAGGACTCTTTATATCGAGCCAACTCACCCGTATCCAGAAACATCAAATTATTGGTATTCTCCCGCCAGTAGCTTACTGCCTCGCCGAGAAGATCCACGCGCTCCCAATCGAAATTGGTTAGATTCCAACGCAGGGAATCGATGGTTAACAACAGTTGTGTCATTAGCGGAATGTGAGCTTGGCGCCACTTGGGCAGATGCTGGTGCATATCGACATAGTGCATGGCCTGGACCACAGCTTCCTCGGCATTGGGGTCGTCCTTGCCCTCTCTGCGCATCTGCAATAGCTGTTGACGACCACAGGCCTGGATCTCGTGCTCAACTGCTTCCAGCTGCTTGAGCAGCTGCAGGATGCGCCGAAGTATGACATAGTTCAGGTTCGCAGAAAACTCGTTAAGACCATCGGCACAGGCCTGGAGAAAGTTCGATTGAGCAGCCCTGAGCTGCTCCAAGTTATAGGGCAGAATGTCATCACACAGCCTTACGCGATAAGCATTCGATCGCAGTTTGATCAGTCCGTTCAGGACCAACGGATGGATGTATAGGGAGTATAGAAAGGTCGAAGCGTTACCCTTAAGCAAGGCGTCATCATCGGTTAGCATCTGGTTGGCTAAATGAGCCATCTGGTGGACCGAGTGCGCGGCACAGTGCTTGGCCATTCGCCAAAAGTAGGAAGAGAAACGGGAATGCGCCATGGCCAACTTGGCCAGTGCCAGCCAGGATTCCTCGGGGTCCTCAAAGCAGAATATCAGAAACTGGTGCACCACGGCCGCGCTGCTGCCATTGAGGTTGTTGAAGAAGCTGATGCGACGCTCCTGGAGATTGGGCGCGGCGAAGGAGAAGGCCTTGGTAATGCCAAACTCGTCGCGAAACTGAAGCAAAAGGATCTTGTCCTGCAGATTGCACTGCGTGAATATGGGTAGCAGAATTGTGAGCAAAAGGTCCGCATATTCATCCTGCTCCTCCTCATCGCTTATTTCATCCTCATCCTCCTCCATTTTCTCCATCTTTATGTCCGGCATGGCCTTTCTGGCCTCCTCGACGTCATGCAAATGCTTCAGTATAAGCTTAGCATGCTTCAGGCCGAGCAGCCCAATATGCTTCGCCATTGTCTCCAGGCATTCATCATTGCCCAGGGCGATCGGGCGTTTAAGCAGACACTCAAGACCCAGCTGTAACTGCTCTTTGGTGACGGGTCCCGAATCGCCATCGAGGAAGGACAACAGCTCACCCATGCTCATGCCCGACAGGATGTCCTCAAAGGTTAAGGCCGACTGGGCAAAGGTGAGCAGCTGCGTGCAAACCTCGTGCTTGCTGAGTTCTTCGTAAGGTTTCACAGCCTTGAGCACTGCCGCTGACTGGTGGCAGATGAGGGCCTGGTAGTTGTAGAGTGTCCAAGGCGATGAGATCTCCATCCAATACATGAATATATCCACCGACACTTTCTCCACGATGCGTTGCAAGGCATCCATTAGGATTTTGACATAGGGCTTTGCAACGCTCTTAGGATCTGAATGACGTGCCTGTTGATCAGTTTCCGGACTTAGGCTATTGAAGGTGTTGAAGGAAACCGGTGTCCCTGGAGGCTCCAAAACCTCTAGGATAACTTCTAAGAGCATCACCATGGCCTTAGCCAGGTATACTTTGCGTGGCGTTGGACGCAGCTCCTTGAGGCGTTCGTTAGAGTCAAGCAAGTGACGCTGCAGCATCCTGCCCATCTCGCGAACCGGTATATCATTCATATCAGCGATACCGGCACGACCGGCGGCCTTTAAAGTGCCTGAGATCCATGTTAAGGCGTCCATCCGATCTGGAGAGACATGGCTCAGAGCGTCGTTGAGGGTACCGAAATATTGGACGGTGGCCCAGCTGGGGCCGCACTCAAGAAACTCCAACAGCGGCTGCTGGAGACCGCAGCTCATGGCAATGGCCACGGTGAGGAACTGTGTAAGTTGCGGAAACTGCTGGCACAAATGCTGACATTGCAGGCTCCACGGCGACTGACTAGAGCAGGTAGTGGCCTCCGTGTTGACCAGCAAAAGGATGAGGACACCGCGCAAGTGCGATATGGCCTCGGGGCCTGTCGGCAGTGTCTCCAGCTCATCCGGGCGCTTGGGATGAGGCTTCTGGGTCACCAGTTCGTGCTCCACAAGCAGTTGGACAACTTTTGTACATAATTCTTCGATGCGCTCCTCATTGCCTTAACAACAAATATATTTTAATTGCGAAAAAGAAGACAAATCAAAGAAGATATTACCGCTCCAATAGAGGAATGTTGCGAGGCGTTTGGTCTGCCTATTGTAGGCCTCGAACATGTTGCGCAGCTGCACAAATAACTGGCAGTTGTCCATTGGGTGCTCCTTTACTTCCAACATCTCCTACTTCAGAGAATTGAACACCATTTGTCAAAAATGTTTAGGTTTTAAAAATTTCTGCTGCACCGATAATTGTTTGTCGCAAAGTTATCGATTAACAGCTGATTGACATTATAACTGTCAAATCGTTAACGGCGCTATCGATAGTATCGTAGCTTTTCAAAAACAGAGCAGTTGAACATCTTTAATACATGTTAATTGACTTTCTAATTATAAGCTTAAAATTACATGCTATTGGGTTAAAATGTTAAACCTCTATGAGAGTTCGCTTACCATTCGCCCGGACACACCGCCACCATCAGCTGTTCGATTCCGATAGGCGCGGGCGAACATGGGAAAATGCGGGGGTGGCGGGTGGCTGGCAGCTGCAGAGATAGCGGGCGCCTATCGGCCGGCGAAGGAAGTTCATTATTGGCTGCGAAATCAATAAATAAAGCCCCGAAACTGCCCCAGAGACACTGCAGCCAAGGAGTCCAAGGATACATGCTGGTGCCCCGGCCATGCAATAGTCTTTAAAGTCACTCTAAAAGAGAGAGCAAGCAAGAGGGAGAGCGAGCCAGTGAGTGGGAGAGAGGAGCGACGGGCGTCAATTATGGAGCTTCGGGAATTACGCGGCAGTGGAGGAGGAGGAGGAGTTGCCGTAGCAGGGGGAACAACGGCCGGAAGAGCTGCATCAGGAGGCGGCTCAGCCCCATCGGCAGTCAGTCCAGAGCTAGGCGGCATCTGCATTGGCGGCTCCGGTGGAGGCGGTCAGCGTTTGCCCACCAAAGCTGATGTGTTCATGGAGCAATTGAATGCTACCAATGCCAAGAAGGTGGCGCTGCTCCTGGTGCTTGGCTTTATACTCTACCACGGCCTACTTAACTGGAACTATGGTGCGTAGTCCTTATAGAGTGAAGTCCTCCCTTATTGATTTATCCTGGTTAACGTCTCTGCCTCTTAGGAAGCGACTCCTGCCAGTGGCTGCTGTCCAAGGGCCGCTTTAAGGGCGACAATGAGTGGCAACCATACGGCTGCATGGTTCACAAGTACTCCCTCACGTGAGTAATCATAGCATAGATAACCTGGGCCTATGACTCACCTCTGGAATCTCCTCCACCCCCCTTACAGCGATACGCGGCGTTGCCTGCGCTACCTTGCCTTCTTCGACAACAAGAATAACTTTGTGTTCATCGGTGACGCCAGTGTCCGCCTGCTCTACGATCGCTTTGTGGAGCAGTTACGTTTGCCCAGTGAGCAGGAGCAGGGGCAGGAGCAGGACACTGACGACAACAATGCCAGCCGATCGGCGCGCTTCGAGGATCAGAAGTTGCATATGCTGGCCCAGTACATCCAAGCGGACGAGGTGAGTCCCTCGCTAGTAGAGCGTCTGTATCATCTTGAGGCCGAGAAGCAACTATCCTCTGTGTATGTGGTGGGCTTCACCTATGCCGGTCTCCTCGCCGGCAACACCACCGACGATGTGCTGCGTCAATATGCCGCCAATCTCACTCTGCTCGTCGCGCCCTTTCATCGGCTGGTGGCCCAAACGTCTCGCGTGCTCTGGAAACTGGCGGATCGCGTGGATGAGGAGAAGTTGCCCGCCAATTGGAAGCTCCTGCAGAACGAGCACATTGAACGGCTGAACAATGTGGCCCGTGGCGTCTTCCGCTATACGGAGATCAGTGTGTGGGAGTCGGCATGGCACATAGCCAACGGTCTGCTGGACAATGCCGCCGAGGGGCATCAGCTGTGCGCGCATGGACAGCGGCTGGAAGTGCAGCTGTTGTGGAATATGTACTGTAACGATTACATGAACTACAACGATGGAACATGTTGCAGTAGCTCCGAACCGCACACCACGCTACAGATAGTTGCGTATGCCTTGTTCGGCGTGTGCATGTGCCTGGTCTGCGGCCTGTGCTTGAGGAGATGGATGCTCCATCTGCAGGGGCAGACACTGTATGTGCCGTTACAGCAGCAGGAGCAGCAATATCAGTCCAACGATGGCGTGCGAGGAGGAGCCAGCACGCCTATGGTGTCCCTGTCCCTGCTGGGCCTAATTCTGGCCTACTTCTACCTCTGCGACCGCACCAATTTCTTCATGAAGGAGAACAAATACTACTCGGAGTTCAGCTTTTGGATACCCGTTGGCTATGTCTTCGCTCTGGGACTGTTCTTCACCGAGGATTCGCGCTTCACCAAGGTCCTGAATCGCGATCAAACGGATGAGCTGCGCGGCTGGATATTGCTGGTTGTGCTCATTTACTATATGACAGGGGCTCAGCGCATCCTGCCCATCCACATGCACATTAAGCTGCTGATCTCCGGGTACTTCTTCCTTACCGGCTACACGCACTTCAGCCACCTGTGGCAGACGGGCAGCAATGGTGGCTCGCTCTTTGTGCGCTTCTTCCAGTCCATGTTCCGTGCGAACTTCCTTAGTGTGCTGCTGTGCTTCTGCATGAACCGACCATATCAGTTCTATTACTTTGTACCGCTGCTCTCCTTTTGGCTGTGCGTAGTGTACTTGGTGCTGGCATTGCCGCCAAGGATCTCCGCTGCCTCTGTGGACGCCAATCCGCTGCATTATCTATATTTGGTGTGCAAGTTCATAGGCTGCCTCGGAGGAATCACGGTACTCTTCATGTCGGAGGTATTCTTCGAGCGGATCTTTGTGACACGTCCGTGGAAGGCGCTGTTTGTGACGACAGACGATGATCTGCACGAGTGGTGGCACCAATGGAAGCTGGACAGGTATACGGTGGCCTTTGGCATGATCTATGCCGCCTGTTTTCACATCGCCCAGAAGTACAGTGTCTTTGATGACAACAATCATGGGAATCTCTTCGCGCGACGCACCTCCATCTCGGTCACTCTGCTGGCCCTACTCGGCGTGGGCGTATACACCGCCTTCTCCTTCCTCTGCCGCAACGTTCAGAACTGCGAGGAGATTCACTCGTACATCCTGTTCATCCCAATAGTGGGCTATGTGGTCCTGAGGAACATATCGGGCATATTGCGGACGCGCTACTCGGCGTTCTTTGCCTGGTTCGGACGCATCTCCCTGGAGCTGTTCGTGTGTCAGTATCACATTTGGTTGGCCGCCGATCGTCACGGTGTGCTCGTCCTGCTGCCCGGCTTTCCCACGCTGAACATGATCATCACGTCGTTTATATTTGTGTGCGCCTCGCACGAAGTGCACCGTCTGACGCAGATCCTGCTGCCGTATGCCGTGCCCAGTGACTGGCGGCTGGTCATGCGCAACTTTGTCATCTTCCTTATAGTGCTCATCCCAGTGGCAAGGTCGGACGGCATGTTTTGATCGGAGGCACGAGCACGGGCCCGAACCTAATTCCCATCCTGAGCGATCTGCAATCCAATTGCCGCTTCGAGGAGAGAGTAGACCCTAAGTATTCGATGGATAGCAGCTCCTGCCTGAATAACACACACACCACACACAGAACATACAGACCGTGCACTTGCCGGAATGGGTCGGTTTTGATCGAAAACAAAAGTCAAGAAGAAAGTTCTAAGCTTCACACTTACTATATCTCATTTAAGTTCCCCCAAAAGTATTAGTTTTGAAATGAAATTTGGTTATTAGGAAGGATACTTTATGTTATGATTCTGCTTTCAATCGAATACTAAAACTGGCAGGAAATACCTTTTGACAGCCATTAAAAAATCGACCCAATCTAGTTTAACCATATATAGTGCGTATCATAGCTGTAAGAAGCAGGTTGATGCTATAAAACCTTAATTAAAAAAAAACAACTATGCCATTTGCTAAAGCATCAGTTTTAAGCAAAACAATATATTAGTTTCGATTTGAATATTATTTAAGTGATTATTTTGTAAAAGATACTTTAATTCTTTGCATAGCTTCATCCATTTTTTTTTTTTGTTTTTGTTTTATTTCTTGTAAGCTTTATAGGCAAAGATTAGAGATCTCTTAGAGCAATGCGGTCAAGTTGTAGCTTTGAAATTACACATTCTGTAACCTTCTGCTCAACGTAAAATGCCTTTAAGGCTTAAATTATTTTGTATTTACACATTCTGGCTTTAACTTAACTTAGGCACAATATATTCTTATGGTTCTGAAACGCACTGTATGCACAATTTACACATACATACATACATATATCGATATATATATGCATATATTTTACGCCTAATGTTTACAACCATAGGTATAACTTAGCTTTAAATAAATTTTTGCACAAATTACTTAACACACACACACACACACACACACACAACAAGCAGCGGCAAACCAAATGTATGTATAGAAAAAATAAAGCAATGGATATATACTTATTGAATGCACTGTAAACCTTCGACGGAAAAATGATTGCCATCAGCCGAAAAGTTGCTTTATCAACGCAAAAACCAACAGCACTAGCAATTCCTCCTGTGATTCATCCTTTAAATCCTGCACACGAGCAGGATTTGTACAACTGATGATTATTTCTGAAATGAATACTTAGCTTTGTGCATAGTAAATTCTCCTTTGTGTGTAATATCGTTTTTTTTTTTTTTGTGCATTCATATCATCCATAAAAAACATTCTTTCAACTCTCTCGGGGGTCGCGAAAAAGGGTTGAGGAAGCACCAAGGGATTAGGGATTAGGATGTGGGACCTCTCACACACGCTCAGTATACAATAATATTTGCATAAATAAACACACACACACACGCTTGAGTTAATGAGGAACTTAATTCGCAATGTAAACAGGTGTCTCTGCCTAGTTTAATTGGAAAAGGTAATGGTTTTTATAGGCTTTAAGGTTCTAAGACTTGGTAAATCACTTTCTAGATTCAATTACATTTTATCTTAAGATTGTAATCAAGATTAGGAAGAGAGATAAGAAAGAAGAGAGAGAAGAAAGAGAGAGAGAAGGGAGAAGAGAGAGAAGAAAGGAGAAAGAATATATAGAGAGAGAGAGAGAGCGCGAGAGAGAGATGAATAGTCTAGAGAGCTTTGCAAGCCGCTCTCTCAAGCTAGGCTTAAGCCACTTGTATTTAGTTCCCATTTACCAGAGAGCATCTACAGTTCTAATTAAAATTTCAAACGTTAAACATACTCCATGCGCGTCGCGTAAAAAAAACCCGAAAGTGCACGTGTTATTTTGATCCAGTGAAAAGTTAAGTTTATTTAAATTTAATGCCGAGTGAATATTCCGGGTGTGTTTCGTATTATAATCGTTGATATTTCCACCAAGCTTATATTGATAAACATTGATTATGGGATCCAGGTATGTAATTGCGTTTCTTCTTCTTATTGGCATTAAAAAAATATTAAAAATACGAAATATTATTATTATAATATTTATTATATTTATATTTTTAACAATTAATAATCATACATTAATTTATGATATATAAAGCAAAATAACAGGTATTCATAATAGGTTAAATCTTTAAAAACTAGCAAAGAAGTCATGAAAGTTATCTTCAGCTAGTTGTTCAGTGCTATAATTGCTAAACTTTACTGTTAATTATCGCTTTTGGTACATTTGTGGAGGTTGGTTTTTGATTTTTTGCGCTTAGAGAACAGCTTTGGCAGCTGAAAAGCTCGCCCGGCTCTTGGCAACAAGTGGCCCTCCCACACACACACCTCCGCAGAAGCTTTTCGCACTTTCCTGGCCGCAAACCAGGTCGCGAGCCAAGCTTTTGTGGGGGCGCTTGGCTTTTCCGAGTCCCGCCTCGGCTTTCCTCGCGCTTTTCCGCAATGCAGCCGAAGGCGAAGGGTTTAAATTGAGGCATCGAGCGCGTTAAGCTTCCAGATAGCGGCCGAAGGTAGTTGGAAACGGTTCGTTGGCACTCGAGAGAATCCTGGGAGCAGCAGCAGGACGAGCAGAAGGAGCAGTGGCAGCCGTGGCAGTCGTGGCAGTCGTGGCATCATCAGCAGCAGTAGGACCTGGCACAGCAGTGGCAGGCAGAGGCAGCTTTCGGTTAGTCGTAAGGCGCCAAAATCTTGGCTGCCGCTTAAGAAGCCAAACAATTTCAAATTTCGTACAAAAACTTAAAAACAACTTAATATTTAAATTGAAGAATTGGAATATAGAAAATAGAAATTAACTTACGAATTCAAGCATTCAAATAATATAAATCCAAGACCTGCTGCTGTTTGGCGCCAAAACTGCAAAAAGGCGCGAAAATGGCTGCTGTTTCCCCTTCCTGTTCCCCTTCCTGTTGTGCGTGTTTTCAAAGTGCCAAATGAAGCGATTTCTTCTGCTTACGCCGAGTTTTTGTTTCACCAAGTGTTTCGTATTGGAAAAAAGATATATTCTATAAATTCACTTTCTTTTTGTGGCATTTTTTTGTGTTTCCCAAAACAGTAAACATATCAAGTGAAACATATTTAACAGAGACAAAGTGAAAGGCAATAACAACAGGATTGAATCATAAATATTCACAAATATTCAAAGATTTGGAAATCAAGGTCGAAATCGATATCATCGGAAGGAAGAACATAGATTCGAGAGAAAGGAATTCGCATTGAAGACAAACTATAACATCTTTACAACAAACTTGACTTCAACGAGCAAGTATTTACAATATTATCCCTATAAATGTTCTAAATAAATATCTAAATGTCATATTTAATCGAAAACCAAATATAAACTAAGTTGAGAGCTAAATAATTGAAACTTTTCGATTGATAAATCATATAAAACAAACTGAAATCTTAACAAAAACCATCACATAACGAGTCTATTCACACCAAATACAACTATCAACGACACACTATTTACATTTTACTTCGATTACAAGATCAAAAATCGAAAATCAAAGTATTGATATCCAAATAAACCCAAAAAAGAATCGTAGTATTACGCAATCTGATTGAGGAAAGCTATGGAAAGTACGCTTTTAAGTCTGTAAACATTATTATAATTAACAGTTGAACATATACACATCGGAATGAACAGTTTCCTTGATCAGTACTATACAAATCTATATCAGATCAAGCTGATCGTTAGGTATTTGATCGAGCTGATCAAGTCGAAAAGGCAAAGCAAGTCCAGCAACTCGGACTCTGAATTTGAAACCGAATCTGACACGTCATCGTCAGCGAACTAAACGATCGACAAATACACCAAACTTATCGAAAAGTAAAACAGACACACCAGATTAAACTTAAAAACGGCTAAAAAATAAAAATATATAAGATAATAAAAAGTAATTAATATCTCTACATATTGTGCTTATTTGAACTCTTTTGTAATAATTGTAATTTGACGAATATAATCCCATATTTTAAACTTCAAAGAACCCTTTTAAATCAAGAAATACACAAGGAAATTCCCGCATATCCTGTTTTATTGATTATTTCGATAATTCGATTATTTAAAATTATGGAATCATATGATAGTTATTTTTTTACAAAATAACTGAAGGAAATATCCACATATCCCACTTGTATTTTAAAAACAAATGATCTAACCCCGATCCCGCATCCAACTGAGGACAGAAAAACTCTGAATAAAGGTTGATCATTCGAGGAAAAGGAAAAATTCTCTCTATAGGACTATATTTTAATGATATATTCAAAACGGAGATCGTCTTTGATCACAACTATAAATAAATAATAACAAAAATAAATTTAAACCGGAAGTTATGATCTGATCTGAATATAAACCAATGGTACTTTGATATATTATAAGCAAAAAGTGAAGAGTTAAATCAAGAACTAACTAATACCAGAACTAAAAAATAAAAAAACCTAATACATAAAAACCCAAAATTAAAGACATACAACATCCCAAAATCCTCATCAACTAAAGAAAGTCAATAAAATTGAAAGAAGAATCTGGAAGAATCCCACCTATAATCGATACGAAATCAAAACAGAAGACGATGATCTGGAACCTGGGGTGCTACTGGCACCCGTAGAATGATAAAGATCCCTCATTATCCTTGATCCTGAACAGGACCAGCGATGATTCGCAAAAAAGAACTCAAGATTTAGCAGGTGAGAATATCAACGACATGAATAACATAATTATAAATTCAATTTGATTAAGTTGTTGGCTCTGGCCATTGCTGTTGTTGCCTTTGTTGTTACGGTTTATGTTTCCTTTATGTTACCGTTATCATTATATCGTTATCGTTATCGTTACCAAATTATCGTTCCCGCTGTCAGTATCATCGCTGTGGCCCCTTACTTATGTCATTTGCCATTACAATTGCTCTCTATTGCGATTACAATTAATGTTGAGTACGCACAAGGACGACGGCACACAGACAGGACAAACAGACACCGACACAGATACAGATACAGCAGATAAAGCCACACAGACACACACTGTTACGGCTGAGAGGAACTCAGTTAGAGGCACTAAAAGATACTATATATTTTTTGTATTCGTATTTATTTATTTTCTTTTTGAATCTTGGAGGTTTCGATTTGGTTTAATTTGCGGATTAAAAAGCAAAACTCAAGAAGGTTTTTTGGTCCAATGACAAAGGTCTCACCAACTTACAGCCTCCACCACACATCTCACACTTTTCTGGTGTTTGCGACTTTTTTGCGGCTTGGAGAGTGAGTGTCCTTGTGTATCTGGCAGTTAATTAGACTTGCGTTGGCCCGGCTGAAGGCTCCTTGTTTTGATTGTGCCAGACAGAAGCTCAGACAACTCACGTCTTTGCCTTTGCCTACGATTTAGCCTTTTGCCCTCATCCCCATGAAGGTCCCTCTACACTATTCGATCTACGGGGGGAAAAGCAAATAGAATGCTTGTCGAAAAATCATTAAGCAAGTGGTATTTAGAGTTGAACTTTTAATACAGTTTCGCATGTCTCAATTAGGAATTCAAAATCAAGAGAAGAATTAAGTTTACGGATGACAGAAAATAAAACAATATCCATGCTGTATTGTCATATATTGTTATTTTTCAAGACTAAAGTTGTGTTGGCTAATTTTTAATATATTAAAATTTTTTATCTATATATAGTATTCAAAATTTACTCTCAAAATCCATCTCTAGTTTGATTTTCGTTATTTATTTTTCTCTCCGTGTCCAAGGAGTACACACACACACACTCAGCCCGAGGACATTGGTGTCCTTGCATTTGCTAAGAGGGTAACATCTGCCTTGTGGCCACCCCTTTCGCCTTTCGCCTTTCTTTTCTTGCCTTGCCTTTCTAACCCATCCTGCTGCGTTATCCTTAGCGCCCTTTTTACGCTTTCTCCTTGTGTGTGTGTGTGTTTGTGTCACAAGTTTGTTTTTCAGGGACTCAAAATTGCTGTTTTCGCTGCGTTTCGATTTTGATTGTAGCTTGCCCTTAGTTCTGGGAACAATTTCGACACA